GTCTCTCCCTCAGAATATCTGATTGCACTGTACTCACCCTGCTTGTGGTGATGTGAGATGATGCAGTGCCAACATGATGGGATGGAGTGAGGAGAATGACATAAGCATTGGGACCTAACATCAGCTACTATCAGCTTCACTTGAACACCAGCATTATGATACCACGACAGACGGTCTGACAACCAAGACAGCTACAAAGTGACTAATGAGTGAGTGGGTAGTGTATACCTTCTGAAGATATGAACAAAGGGATGACTAATGTCAGAGCTAGATGGTGAGAAAGATTTTATCACACTATCAGGATGGTGTGCAATATTACACTTACAAGTTGTGTATTTCTGGAAATTTCCAGTTAATATTTTCAGACAACATTGACTGCAGGTAACTAAAACCAGGGAAAGGGAAACCATGGATATGGGGGATTGCTGCACTTCTGATTGTAGCATCCAGGTTGTAAAGAAAAATAACTATATCCATTAGGGGGACAAATTTAATGGATGATCTGAAACTTTCTGAAGTTTCGGGTTATTTCTATGTCAAGACGGAAACTATCCTACATATGCAGAAAATACACACACACCCCTTCACTAAACTAATCCAGAATTGTCAATGTTGGAAGGCATATAGAATTGTAGCCTGCCAAGAAAGGAGACATATGCCTGGCCTGTGTGGCCCAGTGGTTGAGCATCAACCTATGAACCAGGAGGTCAAGGTTCAATTCCTGGTCAGGCACATGCCCAGATTGTGGGCTCGGTCCCTGGTGTGGGGCGTGAAGGAGGCAGCCAATCGACGATTCTCTCTCATCATTGATGTTTCTATCTCCCTCTCCCTTTCTCTCTCTGAAAACAATAAAAACATATTTTTAAATTTTTTTACAAAGAGGAAAAAGAAATGAGACATATATGTCCGTAAGAGCTGGTCTGCTAAAATGCGAATGTGTTTCTTAAATACCCTGCTAGTTAAATGGTCAACCTAAATGCTCACAGAATTCATGCCCAGACATCACTCTTTTTGGCCACAATCATCACCCCACTAACAGCAGCAGGTATGACACATGTAGGCTATTTACAGCCCTATTAAATGTGAATATTTCATATCATCTCTCCATCCTTAGAAAGCTTTGTGTATCAGTCTTCTACGGAATATGGGCCTTTCTCTCTGGGCTTTAGAAGTGGACTTAAAAAAACAACACCAAAAAAAAAAACACACACACAAAAAAACGTAAGTTGGTTAAACAGGTGGAGTTGGGGGAAATTTTCTCACATTGAGATTTATTGGATTGTGAACAGCCTCTCAAGGGAAGCACCAGATGCCCCATCAACTGGGTTATTTACTTAGAAGGACTGTGGAGTGAGTGGAAGAGAGGCCGCCTGCGGGAATAATTTTGTGTTGATCCCTAAATGACCGACTTGATAGTCTTACAATTCTCAACAGTTTCCAAATCTTCGGTGTCTTCAGAAACTTTCGAATGAGAGGAAAAGCCACCCTGCTTACAATCGCCACTCCATATAAAACCAAACAAAAACAAACCCACCAACAGAAAGCACAGCTCAGCATCCTTTTATCGGTGCTAGCTAAGCGGCAGGGACCCATTGGCTCAGAGAGAACACGGATTCTGGCCCCAGGCCTCGGGTCAGCCAAGGGCTTGCTTTTTCTTCCTTTCTCCAGTTATTTATTTCCCTTTTTGTCCTTTTGGTTTTAAACATCCCCCAAACCCATTTTTTTGTTGTTGTTATTCCTCACCCAACGATATTTTTCCATTGATTTTTATAAAGAGTGGAAGGGAAGAGGAGAGGCACAGAGAGAGAAACATTGACCACATAGACTGGTTGCCTCCTGCACGTGGCCCCCCTCCGCGCCCCCGACCAGGGCCAGGGATCAAGCCTGCAACTAAGGTACAGGCCCTTGACCAGAATCTGACCTGGGACTCTTCAGTCCACAGGCCAACACTATCCCCTGAGCCAAACCGGCCAGGGCCCAAACCCAGCATTTTTATCTTACAACATGCACATATAATGATACTCTCAGGTAATGTGATCTGTCGATGGGCAAATTCCTGTAAAGTCTCCGAAGACCACTGACACCCACCCCCTAATCCCATGGAAGTTTTGAGAGGAAGCTAGACAACAGTGCTTAGTGTCTGCAGCTCTCCACCTGTGATGAGCAGAACTATAAATAAGAAGACAGACCCAGAAGGTCTGGAAAGGCGGCTCAGCTGTGGGCTGAGCTCTCCCAGTTATCTGGAGGGGCTGCGACCAATGGAGCCGCACTCCCCACCATATACTCGCACCCACACACCAGCAGCACCCACTCTGTAGAGGAACCATTCGGCACTCACATACTGTGGGTGGCAGTCATGCAGGGCTGGGGAGAGAGCAGCTGTGGTAAAAATGATACTAGAGGTGTGAACTGCCTGGTCCTGGAAAGCTAGAGGAGGAAAACTCAAGGACTCCCCCTCTCCAGCTGTACTAAGACCATCTTAAAGAGCCAGAGGGAATGCTCTCTAACCTTTCAGCCAAATGTACCCCTCCCCTAAGGCCATCTGGGACATCAAAACATCTACAAAGAAGGGGAGGGTTTGGGGTAGATAAGCGAAATGGCTCTATGCAAAGATCACAGCGAATTTCATCCAGCTCTGGACTGCCTGAGTGGGTCAAGCAACAAGTGTAAAGTAAAAGTCCTCTTCTGGATGTTATATGGCAATGAGGGTGAAAGATGGGGCTTCATGAAGAAATGCAGTAGCAGAGAGTACTGGGTTCTGACTGGACAAACAGAGGACAGGACTCTCATAAAACCCAACCATGTCCGTGTGCTTGTATATTACACTTTCTTCACCATCCAGTAACTGCATATAATCATGTATATAAATCCACGATTGCCTTGTTTTGGAGGTGGTTTCTTTATTTCTCTCTGTTTGACTTCTGATTACAGAGCTTTACCCCAAAGCCTGAGATTTGACTCTCATAGAGATGTGAGCTCTCCAGCTTGCTCCTCCCTGTCTTCTCAAATGAAAGGCAAGTCAACAGAAACAGCCATGGCTCGGATTCCATTCATTTCACCCTTGAGAAGGACAGGAACCACAGTCTGGTTTTCCATGAGTCTTAGAATGTTCTTTATCATCTGCCTTCTCTATATGTTACTTTATTTCATTAAGGAGGGAGATTTGCAAGCCTTTAAAATGTTTCTGTTTCATCAGTTGACTATTTCTTATAGGCACCATTTAATATCTTTTCTCTTTCTTAAATAAAAAACTGCTGAAATGTAACATCTTACAGAACCCTCTTTACGTGTGTGTGTGTGTGTGTGTGTGTGTGTGTACCTCCCAGACCACAATATACCGTTGTACTTGCCAGTCTCCATAATCGCATGAGCGAACTCCTTGCAATAAATTTCTTTCTATGTACATACATGTCTTACTGGTTCTGCCTCTCCGGAGAACCGTGAATATTACAAACACCAATAATATGATATATGCACCAATTTATACTCTGACCAGCAGTGTATAATAAGTGTTCCAATACACAAAATACAATTGGTTCACCTGCCCTTAAACTCTTCCCTTCCTATAGGGCGGTGACTCTGTAGTTTCATCTTCTAGGTGGTGAAAAAGATGGGTTTATTTTGTGTCCCCTCTGAAAATTATTCAGTGGCTTCAAGGATCTATGCTACGGAGTGAGGCTCAAACTCTATTAGGCACAGTGAGATTGAGCCATCCTAGACTCCTGGGCTCCTCTCTGACATTCTGGTGCCCAATGGGGTTCAAATTATTTTCTAATATGTAATCTATGATATAAAAGCTTACCTGGGACCCCAACATATCATATGTTGAGCCCTTTTGCTGGTGCAGGCAGGGAGAGGGTCCCATACTCACAGTTTCTTTCTCACCCTTGAGGTTACCTCTCAGGGCACCTCTAGTGTCAGGGAAGGTCTCAGAGCCCAGGGTAAGAACCGCACCCTGCTCAGTTCTGGACTCTAGTCTGATGGGTCCTGTTCTGTGTCCTGCATGAGTTTTAAACACCCACCCAATGCCATCAGGGTTGCCGAAGATGTCCTTTTCTCTACATTTTCTCTTTCCCTCACCCCAGTCTCTCTACCTTAAAAAATTCCTTCCCCATCTACAAGGTGCAACATGACTTGTCCCTCCCTTGAGCCTCCGTGATCTGCTCTGTTGGAGTCGAGCTCCCCTTGAGATCATTGCTGGCACTTTCAGGCACATCCCTTGGTTTCACCCTGGTGCTGTGACTTGGAAGCTCCCAAACTTGAGTTAGTTAATGACCCTAGATCTCAGTTTCTTCATCTGTATAATGCGAACATCTGGCCTGGTGCTTCACAAGTATTACATGAGGTGATACTTGCTTACTTAATACACACACAGTATAACCTTTGCTTTAACTGACTAGTCAGGCCAGAGACACATGGGTTATAGTAAATCTCTCCACAACTCCATTTCCACCACAAATTCTGCGGGCCTTGAGATGTTATCTCCCAAGTCACCTCAGCATGTCTTCCTAGAAGCAGTAAATAAATGCAGCCATTCTTACCCTTAAATTCTCTAAATCAGTTACTAACAGAGAGGTGCCTGTTCTAAAGTTTGACACACATTCTAACATAATTTTGCATTAATGGTACCATTTATCTAGAATAAAGCATCCAATTTGCTCTTCAACTCTGTGCTGGAGGCTTGAGGAACGTATTGGGTTCCTGGACCAAACACTGCCAGCAAATGTAGGGTCAACTTATCATGAAGACAACATAAGACCTGTGCTTTCTTCCAGTACATTCAAATTTGTGAGATCCTTCTTCTACTCAAAAATGATAGCACATTAAAAAAAAAAAACAAGGTTAACTCAGTTTTATTCGTTTGAAATAACATTCATAGAATCTAGAAATGGGATTGGAAAGCATCACAAAATATGATAAAGCACGTCATTGCTTCCACTTGGGCTTTATAAAATCAAATGCTGCCGATGGGTAAAAAGGGAAATTAAATTTGCGCTTACCTGATGGAACCACCTGTATCACCTTTTCCCAAGATCCATATGGGAATATTTCAAGAAGGCAGGAATAGGAACCAACGTCAGCCTCAGAGGCATTGTGAAAGGCCAGCATCATATCGTTGGGACCCGAGGTTGACTTCAAGAAGTAAACCCTATCAACATAGGGCTCCCTGATTTCTGAACCAAAGGTCGGGTGAAAAATGGCTATGGACTCTTTCTCCGTTGCGTTGATCTTGAACCACTCCATCTGGACTAAGGTGCCCAATGGATACTGACACTCGAGAGTCAGAGTCTCTGCAAGTTTGACTCTTGTGTTCCAAAATATCTCTTCACCTAGAGCTGAAACAGACATCATATTCATGCAATTAGACATTATGCTTAAAACACCAAATAGATACCTTAAGCTGTTCTACGCTTTCTAAGACCTAGCAAGATAGTAAATTGAGACCACGGTAGAGACTAACAACTTCTACCTTAGTCTAAAAAGGTTTCCACTGCTGGGAATAGGCACTTGGAACTTTTCCTTTTTCTGAACAAGTGGAAAATTATCTAAGCCAACTATAGAGCATTATAATTTCAGAACATGTCACACTATAAGACCAAAAAAAAGGACTGAAGACATTATCTTTACCTTTGTGTACATGAAGAAGAGCCACGAGGAAAGTAAAATAATCCATCTCTGGAAAGCGCCTGGGAGGCTGGTCTGGAAAAAAGACAAGTTTTATAATGTTACTTGCAGAGGCCCAGCGCAAGGCACTGTTTCCTTCCTCTCAGATACTGTGGTCTCTCCTCTTTCTGCAGTGTGAACACAGGAAAAAGGTCTGAGCTTCAAAGTCAGCTTTGCTCTCGTACAAGGATGGGCAGATTTGAACTGCTTCTCTCGGGGAAACAACTTATTTTCAAGCTTTCATTTCTACAAAGATTCATTCATTGAACAAACATTTTCTGAGTGCGTTTTCTCTAGGTAATGAGGATACAACAGTCAATTTATTCTTTCAAATTCTTGCCATCATCGAACTTATGTTCTAGTGGGAGGAGACAGAAAGGAAAACAAAACAGTAAAAAGTAGAGTCAGTTATAGGTGGTAAGTGCATGAGGGAAAACACAGCAGGGGCATGGGATCAGGGGAGAGCCTCTAGCATTTCCCTTTGATAGAAAGGCCCAGAAGTCTTTACTGAGGACCTGAGATTAGAGCAGAGACTGAAGGGTGAGGGGAGGAGTCTATGACTGGGAATCTGGCAGCCCCATTGGGCAGGGCCTTCCTTTGCTGAGCTAAGAATTGGTTTGGGGTGATGAAGGAGTCACCGAAGGCCCTCCAAATCTACCATTATGGTTGATTTTTTAAAAACTTTTTATTTTTAAATAATTATAGAGTCACAGGAACTTTCCAAGATAATACAGAGAGCTCCCATGTACCTCCACCCAGTATCCCTAACTGTTACATCTTCTATGGATATAGTTCAATATCAAATGTGAAATCAACAATGTCATGGTAATCAGAACATTATGATGTGTACCTGTAATAATGTATGGTGCCAACTTAGGTTTACATAGCATTCTATTTTCCAAAAGCTTTCACATTGATGATATCATTTGTAACAGCTTTGTGGTAGTTATTTGACATATCTGTGATCTCTGTGTTGTAAGTAATTCATTGAAACCATTTGCTGACCATACCAGCACAAGATAGACATGATCTCTACCCCCAAATCACCCATAAAATGTTGGGTCGGGCAGATTAAAGAAGGAATTTGTTATAATAAAACTTGGTCATTTCTATACAAGTCATTTGATCAAGTTGTATAACATCCCAGAGAGGGAATTCGTTCCAATAGATTTGGGCAGGGTGTCATAGGAAGAGTATACCAGACTCTGGGCCTTCCAACCACAATACAAATTTCCAAGTAGAAAAGTGGGAGAAAGAGCAATGGAGTGACAACATGGGACACTACCAGGAAACAATGTGACTACAGTGTAGTGGGTGGGGACGTGACAAAAATGAACTTGGGGCTGGATTGAAAGGGTGTTGAACGACACACATGAAGCACTTCACAGTGGGTCGTCAGGGACCAGGGCATCCTGCTGCATCTGTGACTCAGCACCAGGAACCATTCCTGGAACGTACATCTAAGGCACAAACATAGCTCTGAGGGAACGCCTTCAGCGTTGTAGCGGGAACCATTGAGATGAGATGTGGACAGGAAATGCCAGAAGACTGGCTCCAGATGGATTGGGTGGGACAATGTTTGCCCTTACAGATTTTCTGATAGGGTTATATGTGCAAGCGGAAGCAATTGGAGGCTTTTAGGTACCAGAATGATACGATCTGATTTGAATTCTCAGATAGACAACTTCCCTCACTCCTAACAGGAAGCTGGCTTTGTTTAGGATCCACTCCTTCCCCCACACCATAGGGATAGTAGAACAAATCTAAGCCATGATACAGACAACTAGGACCTATTTGGGGGCAGGGGTGGAGAAGCCAATCATGGACTGAATTGATGCATTCAAAGTAAGGGAAATTCTTTACATTTACTGTCAAAGACACCTCTCTCTCTCTCTCTTTCTCTCTCTCTCTCAAATCTTATTGTATTATTATTATATTTGAATAAGAAAAAATGTTGCCCCAGTTACCACAAGCAACCTGAGGACAAAGAGTGTGGCAGAGAGAGACGGGAATGAATTTGGGTCTCAGATGGCATCATTGAGGTACTGAATTCAGGATTCTAGAGTCTGAGCACATTGTGTGAGGCTATAAATTCCTACATTTTACAAGCCTGTGAGAAAAGCAGTTTCTGTTTCCTACACCCACATACCTCGGAACTCCTACAATTGTTCTGGTTGCTGCATGAAGACTGGATTGGAAGGAAGCAGAAAGGGATACCAAACTTAGGACACTGTCACTGTGATCTGAGTAAGACGGGCGGGCGGCTTGTTCTCAAAGATTTCCATGGAGATGAACAGCAATAGACTGACTGCCAGACATTATCCATTATCAGTCACACAGGGATATAATAATTATGGGTGTCCTTGACTCCATGGGCCCCAGTCAGGGTCCAGTTAGGAAAATAGAGCCCATGGCCACTGGTTCAATAGAGGGCATTTCACAAGAAAAATTACTAGAAAGAATAATGGGAGAGCAAAAGGAGCCAAACAGGCAGGGAGGCGACTCAGAGGAGCATAAGGAGGAATCCATTCCCACCGTACTGGTTAGAAGTCCTGGGAGGAGCCACGCTGCTCATTATGGAGGCTCCTGTTTGAAGCTGGAGCCAAGGAGGAAATAAAATGGTTCTAGAGATGTTAGAAAAGGTCAAGGAATAGATCTGTCAGAGAAAAGGGGAAATGGCAGGAGAGAAAACTGATGCTCAGAGAACCTAAATGACTGCTAGTGAAGGGCATCTATGGAGAACTCACAGCTGACGTGAGACTCAGTGGTGAAACTTCACTCTAAGAGCAGGAGCAAGGCAAGGAGGCCCACTTGCACCACCACTACTCACATTGTATTGGAAGTCTCAGCCTGAGCAATTAGGCAAGAAAAAGAAATGAAAGACGTCTAAATTGCAAGGGGAAAAGCAATCTACAGGTTCAATGCAATCCTTATAAAAAATTCAAAAAGCTGGTCCCAGATTCATATAGAATTACAAAGGGGCCTTAGAAAAGAAAAAAAGTGACACTCCAAGTTACAAGTTGGAAATAACTAATGCAGAAGATCATAGTCCAAGTTGTCAATGATTCATGATATAAATAATCATTAAATGCTTATTAAACAAATGCCAAAACATATATCAATAAATCAATATGTCTATCTACCAATCTATCTATCTGGAGTGTGTGTGAGTGTGTGTGTGTGTCACCAGTAAAAGAGAGAGCATAAGAGTCGGGTAAAACATGGCAGAGGTGCAGGTGGAGAGGAAGGATGGACAAAGGGACAGAGCAGACAAGTGCAGCACACGGGGCAATGGATCCTAAAAGAAATGAGATGTAACAGCACCATCCACACTTTCAGTGGCTCCTACACCCAGCTCCTCACTGAACCCTCCCCTTCTGGAGTAAGGATTCAGGTATGTGGGTGAATTACTGAAAAGGGGGCACTAATTGGTAATAACTTGTAGTAAACCCTTCATTCCCAAGGCATCCAAAGCCACCTGAGCTAAGAAATGAAGACGGGACAAGTGACTAAAATCAAGGGAGGGCACAGATCCCCATGAAAGGTGCAGGGAGACATGTGGCTGAAGATAAAGTTCAGCTGTTACAACTTTGCGAAGGATGAGCCCGATTTATCACCATCTACCAAAGACAAATAGAGAGTATGCTTGAGCTATTTTTGTTGTGTAGGCAGCCATTTTTTCTATGATTTATGAAGGGATTTTGGCTTGAGGTTTTTTTCTAATAGAGCTGTCTGTATAAGAGAGCTTCATCCTCAAGGAAGTCATTAATCAAAATATTATTGGAATTCTCTATTGCTGAACACGTCTCAGTGAACCATGTAAGTGTGAATTCATCCACAAGCTCACCTGGGACTGCAGGCTCCTAGGGGACCTGGGCTGGTAACAGTCTCCAGGTACACTGTTTTCTTTCTCTGAGGCTGTCCACACAGACACTTCTCTATCTCCCGGTGTCACCACTTCTGCTTTCTGTGGTACTTCCTGCCTTCCCAGATGCCTCTGCCCTTTCTGAACATTGGGAGGATTCTAGTGTCTATTCCATGACCCGAGCCCACCTGCCCCAGCACCTGCTGAAACTGATTGCATCCCTCACTGCTTTAGACAACTACTGCCATGCTGGACAACAGAAAGCCTGTGCTAACCTTTGAGAACCAATGACTGGGGCTTGGAAAACCATGTCCTTCTTATCTGTGAAGAGGCTCATCCTTCAACTGGAACCGTACAGTCTTGGTTTCTGCTCCCTGCCTCAAAGTGTCTCCTTAAAAGAATGTTTCCAATGAGGGTACATGTGGTTTCCCCTAACCCATGATACCCTACCAGTGGTTGGCAAACTGCAGCTCGAGAGCCACATGAGGCTCTTTGGCCCCTTGAGTGTGGCTCTTCCACAGAATATCGACTTCTGCGCATGGGCCACGAAGTTTCAATCGCACTGTACATGCACACCCGCATGTGGTATTTTGTGGAAGAGCCACATGTGGCTCGTGAGCCGCAGTTTGCCGACCACTGCCCTAGACCTTTGCCAAGTCCCCTCTGAGGGACCAGTAAAAATTCACTTGCATTCAAAGCAGAGACTTCAGTTTGGGTTCCATGGGGCATCTTCTAGGACAAGGTTCTGCAAACTATGGCCCGGGGCCTCCTTTGTCCATGTAGTTGGAACGCAGCCAGGCCTGTTTGTTGGCATATTGTCAATGGCTGCTTTTGTGCTCTGACCAGTAGTTGTGACAGAGACCAAATGACCTACAAAGCTGAAAATAATCACTTTCTGATGCATTACAGGAAAAGATGGCCAACCCTTGCATAGGATAGGATGCTGATAGTGAACATTTATCATATAAGTTCATCTTGCTCAGTCTTTCTGGAGAGAAGGGAGGTTTGCCCTGACAGTCCAGACACTGGTAAAATTAGCTCCATTGTATTGTTCTGAAGAACCGCACCCTCAGACCTACTACAAATTCTTCTAGAAACAGACTAAGAAGGATGGCCTCCCTGACATCCATTTACTACTTACAGCTGTCATTAAACTTACTGGTTTGTCGAG